ATCTTCCAAGCTGTTTAATGGCAGTCAGCGGGTATTGCAGTTCATCAGTCCAAAAGAAGTCAAATAAAGTGCATCCATCCATAATAAAAAGTGCCTCACATGACTCCAGGGGGTGAACAAAGGCGTTCTGTATCGAATCGATGCGTTTTTGTAAGAAAAATATCCATATTCAAAACGTAATAATCACTCTAATCCAGCTTGCGCCAACAGTTGTACACGGAAGCAGCTCCGGGAGGATGGCGTAAGATGTCGGCATTGCGCATGTGCCGGTGAGTCTCGTGAAAACCAACGTTTGTTAACAGGAGCAAAGGAAGCAAAGTTTCCTTACTTTAGCAAAGGAAAACCAGTCTCCTCTTGGCTTATATCGAAATCCTCCGACACTCTTCTTTACAAATCCTCATTTTGTACTAATAAGTGACCATTGTTTTGTTTTGATCTCTCCCCTGCGCGCGTCACTTCTGAGCGGCGCATGCGCAGAGCTGACCTCATTGCGCTTCCGCGAGCGTCACTTCTGAGCGGCGCATGCGCAACGCTGAACTCATACGTCATCCGCCCGGAGCTGCTTCCGTGTACAACAGTGAGCGCAAGCTAGATTAAATTGATTATTACGTTTTAAATATAGATATTTTTCTTACAAAAACGCATCGATTCACTACAGGTGGCCTTTGTTCACCCCCCGGAGCCATGTGAGGCACTTTTTATTATGGATGGATGCGCTTTATTTAACTTCTTTTGGACTGATGCATGCAACACCCGCCGACTGCCATTAAACAGCTTGGAAGATCAAAGACAATTTTTAATATAACTCCGACTGGATTCATCTGAAAGAAGAAAGTCATATACACTTAGAATGCCTTGAGGGTGAGTAATTCATGGGCTAATTTAAATTTTTTGGTGAACTAACCCTTTAATGTAGTTGCATGCATTGATTAATTAAGGGATTGAATGAATAGTGATGAATTAATTGGCATATACAATATATAGGATTTTTTATTTTTTTGAAAGAAGTCTCTTTTGCTTACCAAGGCTGCATTTCAAAAATAACTGTTTTCTATTGTTTCAGATCGAGCGCGGCGATCCCGATGGATCAAACCGCATCACTATGGTGAATGGACTGTCCCATCCGTGGGGTGTGGCTGTATACGACTCCTACCTGTACTTCACAGATCGAGACTTTGAAGTGATTGAACGCGTCGACAAAGCCACGGGACTCAACCGGGTTGTAATGCGGGATAACGTGGCCGGTCTGAGAGTACTCAAAGTACACTACAGAGACTGTGAGTATAATAAAAACTGCTTATAACTACTTATAACATAATGGCTCTGTTCCAAAACCTAGTAAGCTTTCTTGTTGTCTATTACCTTCATAGGCTGCTTCCTACGGAGCCTCGCACATGGCATGCAGGAAAAAAATAGTAGGCTAAATTGTGTGCGCGATTTACTATTTCGTTCCCTTGATTTATAAATTGTGCACATGATTTACTAATTCGTTCCCTCGATTTGCTAAATTGTGCACACAATTTACTAATTCGTTCTCTCGATTTATAAATCGTGTGCACGATTTATGTATTTTTTCTTGCATGTCATGTGCGGGGCTCCGTAGCTTCCTTCTGAAATTGGATGAAAAAACGAAATTGGATGAAAAAACAATTATCAAAAAAATTAGATGAAAAAACAAGTCTCTAGATAGGCAGTAACTCAGTGCATCATACAAATAGCTCCTCCTACGCAAAGCACACAGAAGATGCACAATTGATTTCAATGGAGTTTGGTGTTAGCACGTTGCTAAGCTAACAACATGAACTCTAACTCTAACATGAAAAACTTCACATCACACACAAATATAGACATTTATCAAGCCATTATACAGCTTTATGCAGTGTTAGCATGCTGCTAAGCTAATGAACTCTAATAAACAACTCAAAAAAAAACTCTATGAACTCTAAAAAACATAAAACTACACATCACATCCTCATGTTGGGAAAAATAGGCAATTTTTTATTAATTTAAATTCAATTTAAAGTACTTTATTGGCATGATTTTTTTACATACAGTTTTGCCAAATATTATACAGAAAACAAGTAATGACAAGAAAAATGCATCTCACGGTGCCATTTTTGAGCATTCATCTCTGATTCATTCTGCGGTTGACGTAGGGTGGTCTTTTCTTGAAGTCGTCATAACCTTGATGGCCGTGTAGCAATTACCAGAGCGGGATGAATGACTTTCAATAGGATATCAGTTTACCAATTAGTTCCCCTCTGCCTCAGGGGGACACTCAGCTTTATGTGGAGAAGAATCAGTGTCCCTTTGTTCGGTGTTCATTGCACATGTTCATTCTCCAGGGCAGTGAACTCCGTCTATTGTATAAGTCCATCCAGTAAGATCTGGAAGTGCTAGCAAAGCAGAGTCCCAATATATCAGTACTGCTACACACTGATATGATGGCATGCAGGAAAAAAATAGTAGGCTAAATTGTGTGTGCGATTTACTATTTCGTTCCCTTGATTTATAAATTGTGCACATGATTTACTAATTCGTTCCCTCGATGTACTAAAACGTGCACACTATTTACTAATTCGTTCCCTCGATGAACTAAAACGTGCACACGATTACTATTTTGTTCCCTCGATTTATAAATTGTGCGCACGATTTACTAATTTGTTCCTTCGATTTGCTAAATCGGGTACACAAACTGATATCCTATTGAAAGTCATTCATCCCGCTCTGGTAATTGCTACACGGCCATCAAGGTTATGACGACTTCAAGAAAAGACCACCCTACGTCAACCGCAGAATGAATCAGAGATGAATGCTCAAAAATGGCACCGTGAGATGCATTTTTCTTGTCATTACTTGTTTTCTGTATAATATTTGGCAAAACTGTATGTAAAAAAATCATGCCAATAAAGTACTTTAAATTGAATTTAAATTAATAAAAAATTGCCTATTTTTCCCAACATGAGGATGTGATGTGTAGTTTTATGTTTTTTAGAGTTCATAGAGTTTTTTTTTGAGTTGTTTATTAGAGTTCATTAGCTTAGCAGCATGCTAACACTGCATAAAGCTGTATAATGGCTTGATAAATGTCTATATTTGTGTGTGATGTGAAGTTTTTCATGTTAGAGTTAGAGTTCATGTTGTTAGCTTAGCAACGTGCTAACACCAAACTCCATTGAAATCAATTGTGCATCTTCTGTGTGCTTTGCGTAGGAGGAGCTATTTGTATGATGCACTGAGTTACTGCCTATCTAGAGACTTGTTTTTTCATCTAATTTTTTTGATAATTGTTTTTTCATCCAATTTCGTTTTTTCATCCAATTTCAGAAGGAAGCTACGGAGCCCCGCACATGACATGCAAGAAAAAATACATAAATCGTGCACACGATTTATAAATCGAGAGAACGAATTAGTAAATTGTGTGCACAATTTAGCAAATCGAGGGAACGAATTAGTAATCGTGTGCACGATTTATGTATTTTTTCTTGCATGTCATGTGCGGGGCTCCGTAGCTTCCTTCTGAAATTGGATGAAAAAACGAAATTGGATGAAAAAACAATTATCAAAAAAATTAGATGAAAAAACAAGTCTCTAGATAGGCAGTAACTCAGTGCATCATACAAATAGCTCCTCCTACGCAAAGCACACAGAAGATGCACAATTGATTTCAATGGAGTTTGGTGTTAGCACGTTGCTAAGCTAACAACATGAACTCTAACTCTAACATGAAAAACTTCACATCACACACAAATATAGACATTTATCAAGCCATTATACAGCTTTATGCAGTGTTAGCATGCTGCTAAGCTAATGAACTCTAATAAACAACTCAAAAAAAAACTCTATGAACTCTAAAAAACATAAAACTACACATCACATCCTCATGTTGGGAAAAATAGGCAATTTTTTATTAATTTAAATTCAATTTAAAGTACTTTATTGGCATGATTTTTTTACATACAGTTTTGCCAAATATTATACAGAAAACAAGTAATGACAAGAAAAATGCATCTCACGGTGCCATTTTTGAGCATTCATCTCTGATTCATTCTGCGGTTGACGTAGGGTGGTCTTTTCTTGAAGTCGTCATAACCTTGATGGCCGTGTAGCAATTACCAGAGCGGGATGAATGACTTTCAATAGGATATCAGTTTACCAATTAGTTCCCCTCTGCCTCAGGGGGACACTCAGCTTTATGTGGAGAAGAATCAGTGTCCCTTTGTTCGGTGTTCATTGCACATGTTCATTCTCCAGGGCAGTGAACTCCGTCTATTGTATAAGTCCATCCAGTAAGATCTGGAAGTGCTAGCAAAGCAGAGTCCCAATATATCAGTACTGCTACACACTGATATGCACCAGGAATGTGTACACATTGCCAAAATAGATAGGTATGAGTCAGGATCATGTACTCTTATGGTTACCTATTTGCAGCATTATATATCTGTTTCTCATTCTCTTTATCTGCCGTCTGTCTGTCTATCTGTAGCCTCAGCAGGATCGTCTAACGGCTGCAGTAATAACGTGGGGACATGTGAGCAGTTGTGTCTGCCTCGTCCCGGTGGCCTGTTCAGCTGCGCCTGTGCGACTGGGTTCAAACTCAGTGCTGATAACAGAACCTGTTCTCCATACCAATCCTATGTGGTGATCTCTATGCTCACTGCCATCAAGGGCTTCAGTCTGGAGGAAGCGGATCACTCGGAGTCTATGGTGCCTGTAGCAGGCAGAGGTGGGTTTCAGTAGGACTGGGTGGTATAGAAAAAAAATTATTAAAAATACTATTCTATCAAATAGTATAATTTATTTAATTAATATAATATAGTATAATAATATATTATATCATTACAATATATTTATGTATTAAATATGTTTTATATTTTATATAGTAGTTTTTATTAAAGCTAAAAAATTATTACAATTAGAATAATGTATAATTTTTACATAAACTATATATAAAAATGACCATATGTATAAAAATTATATTTTTTTATAATTATATATATATATATATATATATATATATATATCTCCATTCACTATTGTAATGTAACCACATCTATCTATCTATCTATCTATCTATCTTTTATGTGATATTCTTCATACTATAAATAAAAAAAATTATTATTATTTTGTAATAAAAATAATAAATATTCTTATTTATTATTTAGAAAAAGTCATATATGTAATAAATACTATATAATTTTTTAGGATAAATTAGCAACTCATTTTTGTTACTAATATTTAAGTCAGAGACACTATTAAAGCTTTACAGCCAAATAAAAAGCACATTTGTTCACAATGTTGCTTTATTGTATATTGCTAGCATCATTTTGTATGCGTCTGTGTCTGTGTGTGTCCTGTAGGCCGCAATGCTCTTCATGTAGACGTGCACATGCCTTCCGGTTTCATTTACTGGTGTGACTTCAGCAGCACCGTGGCGTCTCAGAACGGAATCCGCCGGATCAAACCGGACGGATCTGGATTCCGCAGCATTGTCACCTCTGGAATCGGACGCAATGGCATACGAGGCATTGCTGTAGACTGGGCAGCAGGTGAGGGGTTTTATGTGGTAACTTTGGTTGACTCTGGTCATACAGTACAATTGTGACGATGTGATTGAAACAAACTTGTCCACATTCTAAAACTAGTGAAGTACTTCCAAAGGAATGTGAAGACTAATGCCAAGTACCTCAGATACACTGGACTCATGGAGTGTTACGTGAGGAATGTTCTAGAGCAGCTTTAGAAGTCAGAGTGGAGACAGTCTTAATGTAGGGACATTAACATGAACTCGCATCAGTATAAGCACAGACAGGTGGCGTTAGAGAAGATTAAAGGTTAACATATGACAGAAAAGAGGCTCAGTTGGTTCAGGCCTCAGTGAACCATAGCTTGTTAAACATACACTTTTGACCTGAATATGTGAATAAGCAAGGCTGCCAAATTTAACCTAATTTGCTTTGACAACATTAAAACAACATTATAGTTGTTTTATTCTCTCAATAAATCTTAATATATATATATATACACTACCACTTAAATGTCTCTTTTGCTCACCAGAATTGCATTAATTTACAGTAGAAATACAGAAAAATGTTAAATATTATTTTAATTTAAAACAACTGTTTTCTATTTAAATATATTTTAAAATAATTTTATAATTTACTAATAAATATAAATAACTAAACTATAAATTACTATGAAATAATGTATTCCTGTGATGCAAAGCTGCATTTTCAGTCTTCAGTGTCACGTGATCCTTCAGAAATCGTTCTAATATGCTGATTTGCTGCTCAAGAAACATTTCCTATTATTATCAATGTTGAAATCATTTGTACTGCTTAATATATTTGCAGAAACCATGATACATAGTTTTTTTCATTATTCTTTGATGAATAGAAAGTTCAGAAGAACAGTATTTGTTTGAAATCATTATAAATGTCTGTACGGCCCAATTGTAGGTAATAAAAGCATGAACAGCCATCTCTAGAGTTTTATGATTTAGGAAAGGTTTGATTTTTGACGACAGACGAAGTTGATCAAAACTAGAGCCTATTACAGAAGAAATGTGTTTGTCAAGGTTTAAAGGAACACTCCACTATTTTTGAAAATAGGCTCATTTTCCAACTCCCCTAGAGTTAAATATTTGAGTTTTACTGTTTTCGAACCCATTCAGCCGATCTCCGGGTCTGGCGGTAGCACTTTTAGCTGTAGCTTAGCGCAGATCATTGAATCTGATTAGACCGTTAGCATCTCGCTCAAAAATGACCAAAGAGTGCTAACAGTCTAATCAGATTCAATGATCTGCGCTAAGCTACAGCTAAAAGTGCTACCGCCAGACCCGGAGATCGGCTGAATGGATTTGAAAATGGTAAAAAATCAACTGTTTAACTGTTGGAAAATGAGCCTATTTTCAAAAATAGTGGAGTGTTCCTTTAAAGACTCATCTAGCAGAACGCCCAGGTTCCGTACGCTTAATGATAGTGATTTATTTATTTAAATATATATTTATAGTACTTTATATACTTTCTACTTAACCATGGCTAAAAAAAAAGGGCTTTGATCTTGCATGAAACAAAACAAACAAATTTGCTTATGTTTTGTTGCACATATTGTTCTTTTTTGTTCTTATTATTTGACTCTCTATGACAAGGTTCATAAAGGACTATAACTTGGCATGCCATCTTTGAAATGCAACTCTCATGATGCACTCACTTTCACTAATGGTGCAAGAGGCTGAAAAGTGTAGATATCCATCTAGTGCATATGTACATAGATAAACAAAGTGTTTGGTCCTTAATCTCTCAAAGCAACATTAAGTGTCCGGGTTTACCAAATATTGTGTCTCGTCTTTGTCTTTCCACAGGAAACCTCTATTTCACCAATGCCTTCTTGACTGAGACGTACATTGAAGTGATTCGACTCAATACCACGTTCCGTCGTGTTCTTCTCAAGACCCAAGTAGACATGCCTCGTCATATTGTGGTGGACCCCATGAACAGATACCTCTTCTGGGCCGACTATGGACAGACCCCCAAAATCGAGCGAGCTTTTCTAGATGGCTCCAACCGGACTGTGCTGGTTTCCTCAGGCATCGTCACCCCCAGAGGCCTGGCTTTGGACCACCGAGACGGATACATCTACTGGGTGGACGATTCCCTGGACATGATCGCACGAGTCCGGCCCGAGGGGGGCGAGACGGAGATCGTACGGTATGGGAGTCGCTATCCGACTCCGTATGGCATCACCGTGTTTGAGGGGACTGTAATCTGGGTGGACAGAAACCTAAAGAAAGTCTTCCAAACGAGCAAACAGCCAGGCGCGACCGACCAGCCGCTCGTGATCCGAGACAACATCAACATGCTGCGGGACGTCACGATCTACGACCGGAGAATGCAGCCAAGTTCAGCCCACGAGCTCCATAACAACCCCTGCTTGGAGTCTAGCGGCGGCTGCTCTCACTTCTGCTTCGCCATCCCAGGAACTCAGACGAGGAAGTGTTCGTGTGCCTTTGGGAATCTGGCTGCAGATAGCAGCAGTTGTGTGGTATCCCGGGATGACTACCTTATCTATACGACCGAAAGCACTGTACGATCTCTGCGGCTGGATCCAGAGGATCATTCTCTGCCCTTTCCCGTGGTTAATGTGCCCCGGACTTCGGTAGCCCTTGATTTCGACCGGTTGGATGGCAGGATCTATTTCACCCAGAGCTCGGGAGCGGGCCAGAGCAAGATTAGCTTCATTACTTTGGCTTCACCTGCCTCTCCTGCGACAGAGGTGGCCTCAGGTGAGCAGCTTATTTAAGCTCCTAATGCACCCTGACACTGCCGGTTTAACTAGAAAGTTCATTAAGGCAATCTTTGAATGTTGGCTTGACAAAGTATGTCGCATGACATTTACAGTGGTTAGTTTGCAGACTGGAGGTTAATTAGGCCTTATGTACCATGTAAGCAAACTTGTTCTTTTATTGTGAAATATAAAAAAAGTAATAAAGTGTGAGAGAAGTTATTTGTTTCTCAGGCAGACAATTCACATGTTTGTTAATGTCATTTTACGTTTGAGCAGAGCAAATGTTCAGTTCTGGAGTTATTTAGGATCATGTCTATTGTCTGAGAGTCACTGTAAAATTTGTGCAAAAAAAATGTGCAAAAGCTGTTTGAGAAGCCCTGATACGCCCTCAAAGTGTTGTAGATAATTATTTAAAATATAATATAATATAATACAACATAATGCAGTCAGTGCTGGGTAGTAACTGATTACATATAATCTGTATTATGTAATCAGATTCCAAAAATTAAGTACTTGTAATCATATTTATATTTATGTTTAAAATGTTCATAATCAGATTAGTCACTTTTTTATAGATTATGTATTATTCACACAATGGCAGTACAATTCATAATTTGATTTGCCTTAATTCTTCTTTTTTTTCTTTCTTGAAAATTTTCTTTCTAAAATTCTACCGCTTTCATACATTTGGAAAGTCTTCCAGCTTTTCATCAACTCCCAAACTACCTGTAGTTTATTCATGAACCCTAGTTTGGGTAACCCTGGCATAATGTAATGTTTTTTAGACTTCATGATGTTGATAACAAAGATTGGAATATATTTTCGGTCAAAAGTAGTCAATACATTACCTAATATGTGTAATCCAGTACGTTACAAACTATAATTTCCATAATGTAATTTGTAATCAGTAACAGACTACAATTTGTAAGTAATCTACCCAGCACTGAATATAATATAATATAATATAATATAATATAATATAATATAATATAATAAAAAACAATAAATCAAATGAAATCACCTTGAAGACTGGTCTGCATCATGCAACATGATTTTGGTATTTTATAGCAATATTCTGTATTTGAAAAGATGGGTTGCATAAGTATCTCCAGTTAGCCGCAACACTGCCTGATTGCTCAAGCACACCGATAAATACAGTTCAACAACCAAATATAATGATTAAAACTGCTGATAACCACATTAAATTAGAATTAAGCAAAAATTAGATTTAAAGGGATAGTTCACCTCATGTTGTTCCAAACCTGTATGAGTTTCTTTCTTCTGTTAAGCACAAAAAAAGATATTTTGAAGAATGTTGGTAACCAAACAATTGACAGTAGCCATTGACCTCCATAGTCATTTTTATAGAAGTCAATGGCTACCGTCAATTGTTTGGTTACCAACATTCTTCAAAATATCTTATTTTGTGTTCAAGAGACAAAAGAAACTCAAACAGGTTTGGAACAACCTGTAGGTGAGTAAATGCTGACTGAATTTTCATTTTTGGGTGAACTATATCTTTAATGTTGTATCTGTAATTATAATCCAGAAATATATGTATTTCTTCAAGCTGGCTTAACAAGGTCATTTCATACATTCATCGATATGTGGTTGCTAAGGTGTAGGTTGTTGCTAGGCAGTTTCTAGGTAAGTTCCTAAAATGTTCTGAATAGTTTCTAAGCAGTTGCTAGGCATTTACTGTGGTTGCTAGGACCTTGCTAGATGGTTGCTACTTTGTTATGGGTGGTTGCCAAGATGTTGCTAAGTGGTATCTAAGGCTTTACTAAGCATTTTCAGAAGTGTTCCAAATGGTTACCAGGTGATTCCTAAGGTGTTTCCGAGTAACTAAGGCTGTTGCTAGGCGATTATTAAAGTGTTCTGAGTGGTTGCTAGGCAGATTTCTGCTACTTGTAAAGTTTTAAAGCTATGTATTTTTGAACATTTTCTTCTCTGTGGAGATCTGGGAGCTCCTGATGGCATCGCCTATGACTGGATCAATAAGAGGATCTATTACAGTGACTATATTAACCAGAGCATCAGCTCCATGGCAGTGGATGGATCTCAGAGGACTGTTGTAGCACAGGTGCCCAGACCCAGAGCCATCATGCTGGATCCCTGTAGAGGGTGAGTCTCCCATTCAGTTAGACTGTGATTTAGATGTTTAATGAGGCATTTTATCATCTAATTTAAATGCATTTCTCTTCATATGCGGTCAGGTATATGTACTGGACAGACTGGGGAACCAACGCAAAGATAGAACGTGCAACTCTGGGAGGGAATTTCAGGACAGAGATCGTCAACACTAGCTTGGTTTGGCCAAATGGTCTGACGCTAGACTATGAGGATCAAAGGCTGTACTGGGCAGATGCCAGCTTGTAAGATCTCATCTTTTCATCTTTATATCTATATCTATATATGTATATCTATATAATATATAATATCTATAATTTTATTTAATTGTATAATTTACCTTTAATAATAAAATAATAATAATCTAATAATAAATTGAATTATTTAATAATTTATTAAAAATATATTAGAATATTTACTTATATAAGTTTAGCTATATTTAAAAATATATATTTTTCTATTTTTTTCATATCAGACACTTTTGATATTATTAATTAACAACACTTCATCTGCAATGTTTGGGCTACATAATTTTAAGAAAAGGTCTACTGTTCTCTCTATGCAGACAGAAGATTGAGAGATGCTCCCTCACCGGCACTAACCGTGAGGTCATCGTAAGCACCGCCATCTACCCGTTTGCAATGACAGTGTACGATCAGCATATCTACTGGACGGACTGGAACACACGCAGCATCTACCGTGCAAACAAGCACGATGGCTCCGACCAGAGAGTGATGCTACAGAACCTTCCATCACGGCCCATGGACATCCACGTGCTCTCCAACAGCAAACAGCAGCAGTGCAGCAGTCCCTGCGAACAATTCAATGGTGGATGCAGCCATATTTGCACTCCAGGTTGGTTTATATTTCAAAACAATAAGCTTTTGCAATACAATTTATGGCTTTTACAGCCAGTATCCTCCGAAACCAAAGCTCTTTTCCCAAATTAGTGACTAATTTCTGGGGGCGTGTTAGAACAAACTCTTAACGTGGCTGACTCTTAACCTTTATAAAGAATATCTCTTTGGATTTGAGACTTTAGTCTTTGCAACTTTACAGATCTTCTTTATGCACCAAGAGCTTGTAACACTCCAAAGAGAAAGGAAAACATGAAATTGCATCATATGATAAATTATGATGTTAAGAACTTTGTTTTAAAATACAACACTATTTCCTCCAGGTCCTCAGGGAGCAGAGTGTCAGTGTCCCTCTGAGGGCCGTTGGTATCTGGCCGACAACAAACATTGTATCCCTGACAATGGCACACGCTGTCAGTCGGGCCAGTTTACTTGCATGAATGGCCGCTGCATCCGCGCCCAGTGGAAATGCGACAACGACGATGACTGTGGGGACGGCAGTGATGAACTCGAGAGGGTCTGCGGTAAGATGCGTTGTTGCTTCCATGTTGTCCTAAATCAGAATAGCAACTTTATGTAAATGCAGTTTATTGATTCAGAATATATGCCAGTGGCTTCATATATGGTTTACCAAACATACACATGCAGTATGTATGAATTCATCCAAACTGACATTTTATGCACTTTCAAGGGTGAACTGAACATTGATATTTGTGCATGACCAAACTGCAAGCCTAATGTTAGCACTCAAATCTCTTGTTCCCACCACCCTCTGAGTGTTTCCGTTTGCTGGTGGATGAATTTTCCTCTCCTGCACTGCTGTGCACTCTTTCACTAACATGTTTCTTCTTGCTTTTATCTTACTTGCACAATCTGCTCAAATCTTTTCCTCCAGGATCCAAGAGTCATTTCGTTTTTGGTGTGTATTCTTGCTTACTTCTCTTCATGAGTAGATCTGTTCCAAAACCTAGTGTGCTGCCTACATAGGAAACAAGGCTATGCTGCCTTTTAAAACACCATCTTTTGGTCAAATTCTAAAGCAGTATCGCATGTATCCTTTGCAGATAATAATGGCATAATGCATTGTTTGCCACACTACCCAGCCAACAAAAAATATGTTCTTAGAACGTTTTGCCAATGTTCCCAGTGAGTTATGAATACATAATTTTTTGAATGTTCTCGGAATGTTCCAAGCATCCAATTTTTGAAATTGTTTTTTTTTTCATATCCGAATGTTAAGGGAACATTCTATTTTATGGTTTTGCAAACATTATGGGAATGTTATTTTTGAACGTTCCCTGGACGATCTGAAACACGTCAGATGAACATTCAACTAAAAATTTCAAAAAAAGTTCCATGTTTTTGTGCTCTTGTTTTTAGAACATTATTAGAGACCAGATAACTCTGAACGAACATTCTAATAATGTTACTGGAAGAATGTTTGTTCTGTTGTTTGTCCAAAAAGTTCTGAGAACATCCCCTGTTAGCTGGGTACATGCAAAAATCCATCAAAACAATTAATGTTGATTATAAGAATAATTATAATCCATTCAATACTGAATAACATTGATAAAAATCAAATTTTAGAGTATTGAACTGTTAGCTTAGCATGGTAAAAAAGATAATTTTAATGAAATAATTGTGAGTCACTAGACACCAAGGCAGCTTACTAGGATTTAGAACAAAGCCTTAGACTACATAAAGTTTAATAACCATCTATAAACACATACTAACCTCTTCCACAATGCACCACTCTCTCTCGCATGCAGTCCCACAAGCAGCAGCATTCATTTCACTCTCAGGTAAAATAAAATAGAGAGATAGAGGAGGTAGGCAGTGAGCTCTACTAGTTCCTGTTAATTCATTCAGCTCTTACTGCTCATGTCAAAATGAATCTTATTTGTGCATGGCAGCATTTCACACCTGCGAGCCCACAGTGTTCACATGTGGAAATGGCCGTTGTGTGCCATATCACTATCGCTGCGATCACTATAATGACTGCGGGGATAACAGCGACGAGACCGGCTGCCTGTTCCGGCCCTGTGACCCCAACACTGAGTTCGCCTGCAATAACGGTCGCTGCATTGCACGGGAATACGTCTGCAACGGAATAAACAATTGCTACGACAATGGGACCTCGGATGAGCAGAACTGTGGTAAGTGCATTTGCACGGTTACCAAAACAAGTTGCTAGGTTGTTTGTCAATTATAAACAGCCTACAGTTTATGAGCATTTATATAATACAAAATAGTTTTCATAAAATCATTTTAAGTGATCCATAATGGCTTCTTCTGGGTATAAAATGCAGCTGAGAGGACATGTCAGCCAGAGCACACCAAATGTCAGACCACCAACATCTGCATCCCACGCTCATACCTGTGTGATGGAGATAATGATTGCGGTGACAACAGCGACGAGAGCCCAACGCATTGTGGTGAGTTTCCCCGTCCCACCCTCTCCCTCGGTCCCGGTCGGTCTGGTTCATAAATTCAGCTTTAGTGAGTTCACTACTTTCATGAGTTAAGCTGCTCTTACATTTGTTTCTATGCTGCTGTGAATTAATGACTTAAAGGGATAGTTAACCCAAAAATTTTAATTCTGTCATTAATTACGAATTACCCTCATGTCGTTCCAAATCCGTCAGACCTCCGTTTGTCTTCGGAACACAAATTAAGATATTTTCGATGAAATCCGAGAGATTTCTGACCCTGCATAGACAGCAATGCAACTGACATTCAAGGCCCAGAAAGGTAGTCCTCAGTCTGGTCCCCATTGACTTGCATAGTGTTTTTTTTTCTCCATATTATAGAAGTCAAAGGGGACCAGCAACTGAAGGTGAACTATCCCATTAATATTAATTACATAATTATGAAAAAAGTAAGTTCTATTTTAGTTATTATCGTTAACTAAAACAACCTATTAAAAACATTTATGTTCACATAAAATTAAATTAAATTAAATGTTACCCTGGACCACAAAACCAGTCATAAGTGTCAATTTCTTGAAATTGAGCTTTATACATCATTCCATTGATCTATGGTTTGTTATGATAGGACAATATTTGGCCGAGATACAACTATTTGAAAATCTGGAATCTGAGGGTGCAAAAAAATAAAAATATTCAGAAAATTGGCTTTAAAGTTGTCCAAATTAAGTTCTTAGCAATGCATATTACTAATCAAAAATTAAGTGTTGATATATTTACAGTAGGAAATTTACAAAATATCTTCATGGAACATGGTTTTTACTTTATATCCTAATGATTTTTGGCATAAAAGAAAAATCAATAATTTTGACCCATACACTGTATTTTTGGCTATTGCTACAAATATACCCCAGCGACTTAAGACTGCTTTTGTGGTCCAGGGTCACAAATGATTATATGAAAATGTAAACTAAATGAAAATTAGAAATGTTATCTTGGCAACTAACTGACATTGTAACGTGCTGTTAAGGATAAGCGCACGGCAAAAGAGTATAATCCAAAGCAGAGTCTTTAATAGAGAATTCGCAAGGAAACGCTGGAGAACACAGGAGTCAACTAACACTACACAACATTAACCAAAATAGAACGCAAGACAAGGAAACTGAGGCAAATACAGGGCTTATATACACTGGAAACATAATCAGGCAGAACAGAAACAGGCGAGGGGCTAATTATTAAATAAGGGAACAAACTAGGGAACTCAGGAGGCAAATGGAGAATCAAATGAATAACCATGGAAATTAATACTGACAGACTAAACTCAGAAATAGAACAAAGTCAAACAGAACCGTGACAGAAATACTGTAAGTTGAAGCACTAAAATTAATTACTGGAAATTAATTAAATTAATTAAAAACTAAAACTAGATTTATTCATCATTTTGATGAAACTGAATTGATGGTGAAATTATTGATCAATAATTTAGATTATTCAATCAATAATTTTGAATAATTATTGATCAATATATTATAAAAAAAAACTGTAAAGGTATTTAAAAAAAAATTTGTTGACATAAAAGGTAGAAAAAAAACCATCAAATAAATAAATAAATTAACAGATAAATAAATATGTGATATAATTGTAAGAATGACAGAAATGTATAATAATAATATTTTAGTTGTTTGTTTCTCCTTTAGAGTGGAAATAGATGAGTAACTGTTTAACAGAGATAATTTCCTGTTGCTTTTTGAGCCAAAGTTGTTGCTCAACTTGCCCTTCCTGAAATTTCAGTTAAATTAGTGACCCATGTATGTGAGCGGGTCCATCTGGGCCATTTCTGGGTTTTCAGTTTGGTAAAAGTTTGGACCCCGTTCTCCTTAATGTTTATGACCCATGTCTGCCGTTTGAGGCTGACTGATTGATTTAACTCTCGTCTGTTGGTTTATCTCTGACCGAGCTTGTGTTCTTCACTCCTCAGCCACATCTACATGTTCCCAGAATGAGTTTCGCTGTTCGAGTGGACGCTGCATTCCTGGACACTGGTACTGTGATGGTGGTACAGACTGTAATGATGGTTCTGATGAGCCCATTACCTGTAGTAAGTACCACACATAACAATATACAGTTTCAAATTTTTAAAAAATAAATGTACACCAGTATATTTTCTCAAGTTATCTGGCGTTCATTCAGTATATGTTTGTTTGTTTATTTGTATAGCACATTTAAAAACAACTCATGCTGACCAAAATGCTTTCCAATAGAACAACATATAAAACAGAATAACCAGAACCAAGACAGCAAAAACATAAAAGCAACACTAAAACACAAGACCATCAAATATGCACCAACTAGCTCACCAAATAAGGTGGCAAGTAAGTGCCCTCTAAAAAGTGCTTTAAAATTACCTATTGACATCTAATTTCCAATGGGAGGTCATTCCAGAAGCAGGGTGCCGCAACCGAAAATGCACGGTCTCCTTTGGACTTTAAGCGGGATTTATGGACCTTTAATAGGAATTTTAATAGGCTAACCGGCGAACATATGTGAAGATGGTGTAATAGGCTTTATATTAGGCATTCTGTTTTAGCCTCATTTAACTTAAAAAAATTCTGCGCCATCCATAGCTTAATCTCATGATAACAAGACATCAGATCACCTAACTCATCACGATCACCTGCTTTCAGTGGAAGATAAAGTTGTGCATCATCTGCATAAAAATGGTATGCAACATTGTATTTTCGACAGATAGAACCGAGCGGAAGCATATATAAAGAAAACTAAATGGACCCCAAAATGTATCCCTGGGGAACCCCACAAAAAGAAGCTGTAGAATCAGAGAAGTAATTGCCCAACTGAACTACAGAACTTCTGTCATTTAAGTAAGAGCAGAACCATTTGAGAGCCTTTCCCCAAATGCCAACCCATTGCCTTAATCGATTTAAAAGGACGTTGTGATCAATCGTGTCAAATGCTGCCGAATCAAAATGGCACCCTTTCCTGAGTCGGCAGCGAGCATTAAGTCATTGTGTACTTATGTGTGAAAATTTTAATTTTGGACCTTGTTTGAATCACCTCACTGGGGAAACTATGAAAACACTGTGATGTGAGGATAAGGCTGTGTTTATCAAGGGAAACCGTTGGCCATGTTTTTGGGTGGTGAGTTAATGATGGGTAGCCTGGCACAGGCAAATTGGTGGGAAATGATGTCATCCCCCGTCCTTCATGTTACGCTCCACTGGTGATGCATGCAGTCAAAAAGAGGAAAGATAAGGCAAACATTGTGTACAAGAAATCGGTTCAGTTGGCAGAAACAGAATTAAAATGTAGTAATTCAGACCAGCATGTCTGTGGTAAAATGCCCTCACAAAAGAACAAAATCACTAAACAAATAGGTTTGATTTATGATGTTTAGACCCTTACATCAATAAGGTACAATAAGGTTTTGCTTTATAATTTTGTTTGCATCCATTAATTTAATACATACTTAAAATGAAAAAACAATTGATGCTCCCAAAAAAGTTTTGGGAATAGTGTATTATATTGGATATCATACACTATTGTTCAAAAGCTTGGGGTGAGTAAAATGTTTAAATATTTTTGAAAAAAGTCGCTTTTCCTCACCAAGGCTGCATTTATTTAATCAAATAAATATTTTAAACAGTAGTTTATTCCTGTGATGCAAAGCTGAATTTTCAGCATCATTACTCCAGTCTTCAGTGTCACATGATTCTTCAGAAATCATTCTAATATGCTGATTTGCTGCTCAAGAAACATTTCTTATTATTATCAATGTTAAAAACAGTTGTGCTGCTTCATATTATATGGCGGAAACTGTGATGCATAGTTTTCTCAGGATTCTTTGATAAGTAGAATGTTTAAAAGAACAGCATTTATTTGAAATGCAAATCTTTTATAACATTATAAATATCTTTTGTCACTTTTGATCAATTTATTGCGTCCTTGCCGAATAAAAGTATACACTCAACAAAGTATACATTCTACAAAATTGTAGAATTGCATTGTGTTAGATAATTGGTAGTGAAAATAGTGTTTTCTTTTTTGGTACATCCATTTTTTTAGATCACTTTTTTTTTTTTTACTGAATTTGGAATTTCAAACCAAAATGTTTTAAGCAGTTTTTCTTGTAAATATATTTTAATAAGTAATTTATAGGGATTTTTTAATGCTAAAAAGCTTTAAAGTCTAATATACCCATATCCTGTAGAAATAAACCATAGAAATAAAATATTATAACTACAGCACAAGCAAAATAATTTTTTGGGTGCAATATGATAAACTAGTAAGGTAACATAATACAAGAAACTAAGATAAAATGAGAAAGATTTGCTCTTCTGAATGACACTTCAGTGGTATCTGAAGTGTCTGTAACTGTCTGGTGTGTGTCTGTGATGCTAGCGGTCATTTCGGCTCTCTATTGTGTGTCACATTCCTCCAAAGTGACGTCCAGCAGAAAAGCCCTCACACACACACACACACACACACACCGGCCTTTCCTTTGACAATCGCTGCCCCCTCCTCTCACACACACAGCCCCATCCTCTCACTTTTGTCCCGTTAATCACAGCACCCCTCTGTGCCTTTTGTTCAAGCGGGACACTAGAGAGAGGAATGCTTATTCTCTCCCAGAATTCCTCTGCCTGTGGAATCCAAGCAGCAGCCCAGCCACGTTTCTGGCTGCTCAGGATGGGATTTAATGGTTAAATGGATTACGTAGGCCGCATGTTCCTCAGTTCCCTCTGAGATCTGAGTAAGACATGGCCCTCAGGCAGGTCGCTCTTCTGCTGCTTCTTGATCCGTGGCTCACTGCTGTGTGTTTGATCCCTACAGCCACCACGGTGAGGACCTGCAACTCCGACCAGTTCCGCTGCGATGACGGAAGGTGCATCGCTTCGTCCTGGATCTGCGATGGAGACAATGATTGCGGGGACATGAGCGATGAGGACGAGAGACACAACTGTGGTCAGTATTGCTTGGTCCAAACCCAAATTTGATTCCACCCCCATCACAGGTCTCATTTCATAATGTACGTTTGGTACAATGTGTGGTGCAGGACATTATAGTTAATTCATGTGTGTGATAGCAAAATAAAGTAAACTGTGACATATTATACCCAAAAATCTTCATAAAGTGGACTACCAGTAAAATTTATAAAGATTTGGGACCAAAAATTATTCAGACACTTTGACCTGACCATGTTTTGCTTAAGTGTTATCTGACATTATCAATATGAATTTGTTCTGTCACAGTTTAACAGTTTAACATAGTTCTTGTAATATTTTATTACCATTTTCTAAACTATAGCGAATAAACTGTGATAATGTGTGAAATGTTGAAGGTGTCTGAATAAATTTTGGTTTGACTGCATATACACACACACACAGACAGTAAATACAGTATATGTACATCCACACACACACACACACATATATATATATACATACATAGAGAGAGAGAGAGCAATTTATTGTTTTAATTTGAATGATTTTTACTTATTTAGTTTTTCATCCAATATTTATAATATTACTGTTAAGAAAAATATTTTTATTTTAGTTTTAGTTTACAATAATTCTGCTCTGACGTCTGAACACAAATTTCTAGTGTTAAAGTGCTCACACAACTTGTTTCATGTTCCATCCTTGACTTTTTGGCTATATTTAGTCTTGTATCATCTCTCTTCTCTAGTCCTTCCTCTCTGCACCGCTTCTCCTCCTCTCCCTCAGTCCATCAGTGAGGTAGTGTTGGTGGTTGGGTGTGGGATCTCTGTGTAAGGAGTCTGCATTCCTAATTTCTCCTGCCTCACCTCACTCACTGCTTTGTGCATGTGTTTAGCTGACTGCTCTCGCTGGATCAGCTCTCAGACTCTCTCTGTTCTCTCCAGAGGTTGCTCTTTCATAGCTGATCAGTAACTTAATGGAGCTCTCAATTGAACCATCACCTTCTTTATCTCCAAATTTAATTCCATAGGAGAAATCAAAATAGATACAAATGTGGTAATTGTTGACATACAGTAAGAGTGTAGAGCTGTAAATGGAATGTGGATAGCATAGTTTAGATAATGAGAAAATATTGATATACAGTGGGTACGGAAAGTATTCAGACCCCCTTAAATTTTTCACTCTTTGTTATATTGCAGCCATTTGCTAAAATCATTTAAGTTAATTTTTTTTCCTCATTAATGTACACACAGCACCCCATATTGACAGAAAAACACAGAATTGTTGACATTTATGCAGATTTATTAAAAAAGAAAATCTACCCTCCAGGATTCGAGTTTGACACCCCTGGTCTAGGGGATCTTGATATGTTGTGGTCTGTATTTTCACTTTGGTACTGTATTTTTCAAGTATTCTTGGACTTAATTGTGCTATACATGTATATTTGTGTCTCATTTTTATGTGTAAACATGTGCAATGCATGCAAATATTGGCAAAATACCCTCTTTACGACTAATTTATTTATAAATTTATTTAGATGTTTAATAAAAGTCATTTGCATCACTGAAGCTCAGTGAGTCAGATATCACCTAGAAGTAAAAAATTTTCATTTATAGAAATGTAAATGTGAACACTAGTGGAAAAACTGCTGTAGAAACATGTCAAATTATGCCCATAAAGTGTGGGGAAGGTGGTTTTTTTTTTTTTGTGATTTGAGTGAAAAATCAGGGTTATTATAGATAACTAAAACTAAAACCATTAAAAAAAAAACATTTTCTTACTTGAAATAAAATAAACTTCAAATTAAATATAAAATTAAATTAAAATAATTAAATTAAAATGAAATAAACTGACTATAAATTAAATATAATATAAAAAATGTAATTTTTTCCCCAATTTTCATTTAGTTTAACTTGATGTACTAAAATAACTGAAACTAAAACTGAAATATTAATATAGTCTAAAACAAAATACATATTTTTCAACAAAAAAAATAACAAAAACAACACAAAAAATACAACAAAATGATAACTATAAACTGTAACTAAAATGAAAAATGAAAACAGAATATATAAAAATAAAATAATATAAAAGATTTAAAAAAATAAAAGCTATAACAGTATCTCAATGATACTAAAATAACTCATAAATTGTATTACACATTTAAATATATTATATGACATTAAATATATTATTAACAGCTTTACAAAATACATAATTGTCCTGAATGTAAGATGCACAGAAATTCTAAATCATTGTCTGTTTTGTTGTCTCAGGCATCAATGAGTGCACAGACCCGTCCATGCACCACTGCGACCACAACTGCACCGACACGCCCACCAGCTTCATCTGCACCTGTCGCCATGGTTACCGCCTCATGTCCGACAACAAAACCTGCGACGATGTGGACGAGTGCTCGGTTACGCCCAGCGTGTGCAGCCAGGTGTGCGAGAACACCATGGGCTCGTACGTGTGCAAGTGTGCTCCAGGCTTCCTCCGCGAACCCGATGGACGCAGCTGCAGGCAAAACAGCAACATCACCCCCTACCTGATCTTCAGCAACCGCTACTATCTGCGCAATCTGTCGACGGACGGCGAGGCCTACTCGCTCATTCTGCAGGGCCTCACCAGCGTGGTGGCGCTGGACTTCGATCGGGTGGACAAACGCTTGTACTGGATCGACGTGAGCCGGAGGGTGTTGGAGCGGATGTTCTTTAACGGGACGGGACGAGAGGTGGTGGTCAACGGGATTTTACATGGCGAGGGCCTGGCGGTGGACTGGGTCGGGAGGAAGCTGTACTGGGTCGACAGCTTTCTCGACTGCATGAAGGTGTCGGAGCTGGATGGCCGGTTTGTGAGGAAGTTAGCAGAACACTGTGTGGATGCTAATAACACATACTGCTTCGAGAATCCCAGAGCCATCGCTCTGCATCCAAAGCTTGGGTGAGTTTACCAGTGATGGAAGTCATTTTCAGACCCATAAGTTGGTGGGCATTTGCACAGTGCACAGTCTAAGCAGTGTCACCTGCATACACTCTCCGAAAAAACGTACAAAAGCTGTCACTGGGGTGGTACCTTTTCAGAAGGTACACTTTTGTAGCTTATTTACCCCTAAAGGGTGCATATAAGTACCTAAAAGGTACATATTAGTACCAAAATGGTACGTTTGTACCTTTTTTTAAAGTACTGCCCCAGTGACAGCTTTTGTGGCTTTTTTAATAAATTTGTAGTTGCCAATTGGTGGGTCTGTTTGGATCATGAAAAAAACAATGGTAAATGCAAACAATGAAATATAACCAACTATAAAACCATGTGTAGAATGGGATAGCAACATAAATTGGCTTAAACGTTTTTGAAAAGGAGGAGAACTCATAGTTTACATTTACATTTTACATTTAGTCATTTAGCAGACGCTTTTATCCAAAACGACTTAGACATTGTTCAAATAAGTACAAGCTAGAAAGAGAAGGAATAAATAAAGAGAGAGATACTTTTTTTTTATTTATTTTTTTTTTTTTTTATGATGAAGTCAAGTAGCTTCGAAAGAGATGAGTTGTCAGCTGTCGCTTGAAAATTGTCAGGGATTCAGCATTCCGGATAGGGGTGGGAAGATCGTTCCACCAGCCAGGAGTGGTGAACGAGAATGTTCTGGAAAGTGATTTTGAGCCTCTCTGTGATGGCACCACGAGGCGTTGCTCACTAGCGGATCTCAGACTTCTGAAGGGGATGTAAATTCGTAGTAGTGAGTGGAAGTAGGCGGGTGCTGAGCCTGTGGCTGTTCTATATGCAAGCATCAATGTCTTGAACTTGATTCGGGCCGCAACCGGTAGCCAGTGCAAGGAGATAAAGAGAGGTGTAACATGGGCTCTTTTGGGCTCGTTGAAGACCAGTCGTGCCGCTGCATTCTGAATCATTTGTAGAGGTTTGATTGTGCTTGATGGGAGTCCAGCCAGAAGAGCATTGCAGTAGTCCAGCCTAGAGATGACAAGGGCCTGGACAAGAAGTTGTGCAGCATGCTCCGTTAGAAAGGACCTGATTAGAAAGGTCCATCTCTAGCTCTGAGTGTTAGCGGCCTTGCGTTAGCTCTGAGTGTTTAGCCGTCCATCGTTAGCTCTGAGTGTTTAGCCGTCCATCGTTAGCTCTGAGTGTTTAGCCGTCCATCGTTAGCTCTGAGTGTTTAGCCGTCCATCG